TTGGGTTTTTTTTTTTTTTTTTTTTTTTTGGTTGGTTGGTTTGGTTTGGTTTGGTTTTTTGGTTTCTTAAGACAGGCCTTGATCCGCCAGCCTCTGCCTCCTGAGTGCTGGAGTTAAAGGCGTGCGCCACCGCTGCCGGTTCTAAGCTGTGTTCTTTTAGTTCTTACCAAATCCCAGACCTTAAGCCTATCAATACCAGACCTAGAAAGTGATTACCTGATCTATGCTCCTTTTGCCAAGGGAGGAAGTGACCCTGGAAAGGCAGTGATGCCCCATATCAGATGGTTGTGGGGTAGAAACCCCAAATTTCCTCTAGTGAGAGGAGTCAGCTGTCTCCCTAGCTCCTTAGCCTCAAACTCAATGTCCTTTTTCTTCTTTTTAAAAATCTTACCTGCCTTACTGCTGTTCCTTACAACCTTGGTTTCTTTTCTCAGCCTGTTTCCCACATGGTTTTTGCACTGTTTCCTCTGATGACACACCGGTTCCTTTGAGTGAGAAGTTACCTGTTTATCAGCTTCATATTTCTGGGCTCCTGCCAACTTCACACTCTGCCGGTCACTGACCTGCCCTTCCCTCCCCCCTCCCCCACCCCGTCTCCCTCAGTCTTGGGGGCTGAGGTCTTACTGGACTCATTTGAACTGACCCTCTTATTTCCCACCTTCCCAGGTTCGGACAAAAGATCACCGCTTTGAGAGCGTCAGTCACCTCATCAGCTACCACATGGACAATCACTTGCCCATCATCTCCGCGGGCAGCGAACTGTGCCTACAGCAACCCGTGGACCGGAAAGTGTGATCTTCAGTTGTCCTGGATGCCCTCCACCCCTTCCACTGCGTCCTCTAACTCCTGGGACCTATGTTTGTGCTCACCTGAGACAGGGAATTTTAGTTAGAAACCTGGGGTAGCATCCTGCTTCTGCCCAAACCTCACCAAAGTATTAATGTACAGAGTGGTCCCTTGCCTGGGCCTTGTCTGTGCCAACCTGATGCCCTTTCCCCCAAAGGGTAGGTTCTTAAAATGGAAAAAGACCCAGTGGAGCAATTGCCCTTTGGGGGAAGGGAAGTAATCATACCTCTGGTTTACCCCTGGTCTTCAGGGTACCCCAGATCCCTCTTAACATATCCTATTCCCTATGCATCCCTTACAACTTTGTGCCTTTGACTATCTCCTAGGTCTGCAGATACTTTATGCAAAGAGTTCTCAGGCCCTTCGTGTGGATAAGGGTTGCTGACGCCTTGGCTCTGGAACCCTGTTGTGCTCAGCACCCCTTTCTATGTTTGGGAAGAATAGGGGCAGGAGTGGCAGCTATCTCCTCTGCCTTTTGGTTGTGCAGCCCTTAAGAGATTGCCCCAAGCTGGGCTTGGTGGCACATGCCTTTAATCTGCACTCAG